GGGGGGGAGGAAGTATGCGGTCTCTTTCTTTTACTCCTTTCTTTGAGGTATTTTATCAAGAATTTAGCTTTCTCGTTACTTAGTTTTCAAGAATCGAACACCTTAATTTTATGTAATTCAATTAACCTCATTAGTGCATGTTTATTTTCCACGTGAACTAGATAAAGATTCTATATTTAAGAAAGACCGTGATATTTTGCGTGTTCCTGCCCTTAGGGAAGTGATGGAAGTTTTTCGCTCTCTCGGGAGTATAGTAGGCAGTCCGTGTTCGTAACTCATAATATATTGAACAACAACAAACATATGAAACATAATATATTGTCGCGATATGCAAATCATGTAGGGTAGTTTTGTCAGTCAAAACCATGCTTGAACTAGTTGGCTTTATTGTCAGCCCTTTAACGGTTTCCTTCGGAATTTTCAGGAAAAATTGTGTTAACAATATAAAGAGTACAAATGTGAAAAGTGAGCTGCGAAGAATTCGTCGAAAACCAAGCCGGTTTTGACGGTGGCTGCAGCGGCGGGCTACGCTGTTCGTGATAAACCTCACGAATGAAACTAAACAAACGGTAAAATGAAGCACTTTGAAAATTCGAGAATATCATATCCAAGCTGAAGTCAGTATATCTGCATTATTCTTTACGCTTTTTGAGTTGCCAGGATTTCTAAAACAAAAACAATTTTGTTTTATTTAATGGTCACGCACTGACACAGTATAGCGTGATTTTATGTATATCGTTAACGATTTTCAACAACTTCTTAAAAATCCCACATTTATTTCCCCAAAGTAAACTTTACTTATTTTGAAAGATCGTTAACTCGGGTATTGTCATTCTTAATCTTACGAAATTCTAAGCAAAGGCACACGCTTAAAATTATCGTTAGTTTTCGCCTACCGTTTTACGAAGCGTGGGAGAGCCAGAACTTCTTTACTTCTCTTGAATACTCAAATAAATCTAATGTTTATGAAATCATGGTGTTTAGACCATGGTAAGTTATACAACAAATTGGAACTATGACAGCTGCGCTTTATCCAGCGCAGCAGTTTTGACAAGCGAGTCTAGTGAATCATGACCGATTTCAACCCTGTTTGAAAGTGTTTGAGATCGTCAAATTGTGCCCAAGTTGAAAACGCCTTCCATCGTTCTTCTCAGGAATTAACAGGTATTTCAAGGAAAAAACTACATGGCATTCATATACTTACTAAAGGCTATCGATATGCAAAAGACGAGTGGATTTGATTTTTTTTTCGGCTTTGCCGAAGATTTGCGATTTTGTTTGATTCTTGCACGGATCTGCTTTTAAGGACAATGATTAAGTGATGGCAGTGATTAGTAATCACTAATCTTTTCAAACAGTCAAATGTTTGAGACTGAGACGAGAAATGGGCAGTGCCAAAAAGTGATTGCATATAAAAGGTTTTTTTCATTTGTTTAGTAACAAATTTCTATTAAATAGACTGCTACAGTCGCCCCGTCTTCCCGAGATCACTCATGCTGAGTCATGGGAATTAGAGTTAAAAATGAGAAGGAATTAAAGAGCGTCCTGTTTTATTCGTGTTTCGTTCTCTTGAATTTCCATTAGGATCTGCCTGTGAGTCGCATGTCGGCCTTTATTAACTCCACTGGAGTTCAGTTAAATGTCTCCACGTGGTTTTGAAGTACTTTGACAGTAAAGGTCAACTGAATTTATTTTCACTTTTCAAAACATCCTGTTCGCATTCAATTAACAGTCTTTTGTTACTACGTAGTCACAGCTTGAGTGGAAACCTCGGTCTTGTAGGTAAAACAAGATAATTTTTAACTATCAAGCTTTGCGGAATCTTGTTAAGTGTTGTGCTGAAGCAACTACTCCGATTTAACTTTTTGTCAAGAATATCTTGAGCTCTTCAGTTTTTCACTCTCTAAATATTTACATTTTTTAAAACCTAGTTTGAATTTGTGATACCGAGGTCATTCCATCTGATTCTTCAAATGTTTACAAAATGTTTACAAACCCTAACTTATTTTTTTGTATGGCAAATGTCATTTTTGTTTTATTTCCTTCCATCTAACTGGTCCTTGAAATTAAACTCGATTTATCATCCACGTAACTTCCTTTTTAAGAGGAACAAGTGACAGTTGATTCATTGTCAAAAGCGAATGTGGTTTGGAAGTCTTCCATGCCGAATGTGGATGTTTCCTTTTGATGATAGTTTGAAATCGTGTAATTATACGATCACCTATTAACTGTCTCATAGTAAGGAATAGGTCGCTTCGAAGCCTTCCCTCTTTCGATGTCCATAACATATGTTGCGAATGATTTGGTTATACATAACCACCCGTAACAAGTCTGAGTGTGAAATTCCTTTCCGCAATCGACTTTGAATTTCCAAACTCTATCCGTAGGTATCGAAGAACTCATTTCTCAATTTGATGAAAAAAATTAGCGTGAAAAAGGAAAAAGTTTGGTCTCCTGGGGGATTATCCAAAGGCACGAACGACATCAGATAAGCGATCTCTATTTGATCGCAGTTTTACCGTGGCGCCAGTGCCTAAGCTTTGGGACAAACTACCGTCTGAAATTCAGTTTGTAGCGCAAATAGCGTGCACATTTTTAAGTCAGCGTTAAAAACGCATCTACAGGGTATTTCGTATAGTTTTTGACCTTTGATTTATTCATTAAATGTGTATTATAGATATGCCATTTGTAACTAAAGTTGATTAGATTTTATCTGGAAAATATTGTAAAACGTTGGAGAGCATCTACCTATGAAATCTCAGCGCTATATAAGCTTTGAATTATCATCATCTTCATTATTATCTATGCCTTTGAAATTGAATTAGATTTCTGCAAGTTCTGTTATTGGAACGCGCACACCCTGAGCAAAAAACACAGATCGAATGGATTGTGATCGATATGAGCCCACCGGCATGTGAATGAACCGATCGCAAAACAATTATTTAAACGGGTGGCAGCCAAATGTGAGCTGTTTCAGTAATGGTTGAGCTAAGTTGAAGAGGTGCTCTTTGTGCTTGCAAGATCGTCGCTAATCAGATTTTGTTATCTTCGGATGAATGCCTCTTTCGTTATGTTATTCATATCCGATCTCGCCTGACTCAAGAACAACTAGTAGAATATAAAACTTGACACGCCTGTTAACCAAAATGTACGAATGGTTTTCACTTTCGAAAGCTTCTCGTTTGATATTTATTAGATTCTTCCTAACGAACTCTATCTGCCTTAGTTTTCAAATATCGTGTAATCAGATGCTGTCAATTGCGGAAGATTTAAGAACGCAACACTGCTTAGAGTCACCTCGTATCAGCCAAGTTTCAGATAGGAAACAAATTCTTGTCTGCCCATCTCACCGGAATCAATCCTGCACGAGCCGCTGTTTCCTTCTCTAGACCAACATCATTAACACGTGGATTTTGCATTTAGCAAAGTACCCTTACCTAAAATCGACAGTAGTGCTCCAAGCAGCAACGGTGAAAAGAGAAAGCTCATGTTTTGCTGGCCGGCTTGCCGTCTGCACGAGAGCTTTCCTAAAGGACAGCCTCGACGGACTGCTCTCCACGTGAGATCGAGGTAATTTTCACTTTCGAAAAACTCATGATATAATGTTAATAATAGCAAAAGTGAAGTAACAGGCGGGGGAGGGGTTAACTGCAAAAAAATAAAGTGGAATGCGAAAGTTGTAGACTAGCTCACAAGTACAATTTAACGAATCATATTTGTCTGTGATTTTTAAGCAGAGTTCTTTGAGAGTGAGACACCACTCTTAAGCAATTTCATTGCTACCGCGACACTCACGCGGTTTTTTCAAGGAAGTCTTATACAAACACGCTGATATCGTGGTGTATCATCCCCCTCCCCCCCTAGTCACACTTTTTGTTTTGATTTTTTTGTAGTCTTGTTAATGAAGCCACCAGTAAATCGAGAATATATTGGCCTTACTTACAATCAATTAAACCTTTAATGAAAGTCAATCACTTTGGTTGCTGGGCAAGCCGATAAATTCGCATTTGGCATGCTGATTCTTTAATATGTCTCCTTGGTATAATTACCTAACTATTTAATAATGAGATGTATCGCAAGTAAACTAAACTAATTTAACATCTGTCACAAAACGCCAGGCCTGAAAATTGACAATCCTAATTACAACAGGCTCTTAGGTTGTAGAACAGAGCGATAGGAAGAATCTTAGTTGACACAAAATTTTTACACAACACGCGTAATGGTTTATAAACAGAGCTTTGAATAGGGTTCGAAACTTTGGTGGGAGAGAGTGCCACAAACGATCGTCATAATTGTGCTGTTGCTCCGATGCTTACTGTTTGGCGGACGCGTGGCAATAACACCTAAGGATTATGTGGCGTTTAGAGCGCTTATGTGTGCCATATGATTCAATTGTTCAGTATTTTCTACGTAAACGCAGTTGATGAGCTTTCGTTTTCTCGTATCATGACACTCGCTATGTGATGTCACTTCTAAAAGTGAGAAAAACAAAAGCAATGAAAAAACTGACCCATGACATATCTGTTTCGCTCGGTTAATTCTGTTGCATCATGAATACTTGGAAAGTTTGAACTTCGCAGCGTGTTTATTCTACCTCGCCAACTCTTTAGTCAAAAAATAGCCCGTCGTTGTAATTGTGTTGGTCTCGAAACATGGTTAATCTAAACTTGAAGCCGATGTCAAATGCATCATGCGATGTTTAAATGCGACATCCTCTTGGTTACGATAGACGCACTCGTAGCGTAGTCAATTCCAGAGTTTCAAGCCATCAGTGAAATCAAACTTTATGTTTAGAAAGTTTATATCGCAGAAAAGGTTAGGGTAAGTCATCGCGATAAAAATTGTAAGTTTGATTAATCATTTGCCTCACGATGTAGTGAATTCCAGCGTGGATCTCCACTTCTCGAGTGCGTACCGCATGTTTCTGCTTGGAATTGGTAGTTATCGGGTTCATTAGTTAGGTATCTCAAGGCACAAAGCGGCCTATCCCTTTGCGTCAGTAACCTGATGTAAACGGGAAATTAGTTTGCTGAAGGAACTTTCGATTCGTAACTTATATCAATCTAAAACACTTGAAACCTTAAGTCAGCTTAGATCTTCTCTAATACAGTAAGAATGTTTCATGGTCACAAGTTTAGAGAACAATGTATATTTCTTTGCTTTGTGCAGTTTCGAACCGGGTTACCTAGGAATGGATGTATACGCAAGGAGAAAATGACAACGGATGCATTTAACCAGAAAGAAAATAGTGGAGGAAACGGGACAGAAGAACAAGAATGAGCTTCGTTTTTGAGCAACAAGTTTCGCTTTTGAAAAAGCCATCTGTACACAAGTAAGAAAAGGCCAAGGATGGGAGACATTTGAAAGATTAAATCTATTTATCTATCATCTAACACAACTTTTGAATCTGTTAGAGAAGAAGGGATCTTATAACACGGCCAAGAGGCGTTTATCTGAAACAAAGCAGCATTTTGAAAGTTCGCAAGACATGGGAAAGAACTGTGTGAGTGCCTCAGTCGCGCCAACTCACGCGAAACCTAAAATAATCGGAAAAGGAAATGAGATCGTTTCAGTTTCAAGGAATATTTCATGTCAGCTCTTCAAATATAATATAGAGTAAGCGTTTGTTTAGATTTTGACTGTTTGATGATTGGTTATCTTGTAAATAAAGACGTTCTACGTAATTGCACGTGTTAGCCGTGGAGAGACGAACCTCGTGTAAAAAGAACTTTGACGCCAGAGGGTTGATCTTTATCTTCCCTTTAAATTCGTTTCCCAGCATTTTGTGTACAGAAAATTTACTCTTTTGTGAAATATTGGTAAACTTGCATGCATATTTTCGTAGTTGACAATTTGCGGTGTGTGAAGAGTTTCTCTTTAGGACAGGTCTGAATGACTTTTAATTAAAAAAAAAAAAGATGATTCGGATAAGATGAATTTTTTTCCCAGGACTACATGCCACTATAGGTGTGTTGGCAATATTTGCATTTAATCAACTCATTCGGTAGAATTAACCACACGTGTAGATTCCACTTTGTGCAATGGTTACATGTTTCAGTTCTAATGGACAGCTGAGTCGTTCCACTTCATTTGCCAATGACACATCATTTACTTCGTGGTGTAACGCTTTCAGTTTAGTCACTATTTTTCCATTAAAAAGCCAACATATTTCCGTAGTGCAAGCTTTTGAAAAAATTACTCGGCAATGGAGAGTCGTTGAGCTTCCTTTGTCGAGGGTGATGTTTGTCTGCGTGGAAGTGACGTTAAGCGCTGTTAAAAAAAAAAAGGAACTTTTAATGGGTTGACTTGTGGACACTTTCAAATATCGATGAAGGTTGATCAGAGATGGGAAACTCACAGTTTACGTATCTAGGCTGCCTTCGACACCTTATTTAGAGTGGTAGTGATTTGGGAAAGATATCATTAAGGGCGTGACACCAATTTACACCACGGTTTCATCGCGGTTTCTACGTTTTTGAAAATTCAGCTTAAATCATTCACGTTACTTATTTGCGATCCATATGGGGTAAGTTGGGATAGACGCGAAATGGGCTCCCACCTTTCTGTTCTCCTAGATGAACGGTGGACAACGAGGTAAGGAGAGATGAAGAGATGGAAAGAAGGAGACTTTCCAGGGAGTGAAGAGCGCCGGTGTGTTTGTGATGTGTTGCACGTCATGAAGACAGGATACAATTCTCCTTCCTTCTTTAAATGACCGCATAGATCAGAATAAGCTGCAGCACTTTTTAACGTACAAGAAAACTAAAATATTGTTATAGCTCACCTTCTTCCAGAAGTAAAAGCTCTATATTTTCCTTTGCCTCAAGCATCCTATACCCATGTATGTTGTAGACTTTGCAGGTGTAAGTACCCACGTCATTGTCTGAAACATTCTTGATGATTAGAGAAAAGATTCCTCTTCTTTTAGCTGTCTGATAGTGTGGCTTAGGGATTATTTCTCTATTACTCCTTTTTATTTCTTGTCCGTTGAATTCCCAGGAGTATGAGGTCCTACGCTGGTTTACCCTCCTGGCAGGACATAACAAGGTTACAGTGGAACCTTTTCGGGTAAGAGTCACACGAGGCGATAGCCGAGTGCGACTCTAGCTTCTCGAGTGCTTAGCAAACCTCCCAAGTGCAACCGTAACTCAATAGTGCACGCTATGACGTTCACCATTTGGTTTATAGCATAACATTGAGACATTGGAAGAACAGAAGTCCTTTTATTGAGCTACATCGCAAAAAAATGTTCGTGTAGTCTTACATGACAAGAGAAAATAAGCGCGCGAAAATTCATTCATAACAACCGACTGCACACAAGCAACTCGATAAAGTTTAATCACGCTTCCTGAAATACCGACCAAAATTCTCTTTATAAGGTCTGTATCCAACAACCGGTGAAAGAGTTCAGCAGAACTATGAACAAGCTGTGGTGTTTACCATTTGTTTTATAACATAACATTGATAAATTGTAACAAGAGTTCCCTTTTATTTAACAAATCTTACGTGATCAGAAAAAACAAGCGCGCGCGGAAGAATAGTCTTAGCATTTGCTCACGTCAGCAGCATACACCCATGGGCAAATAGTAGATGCTGAATTAACCAAGCAGAGCGCTTTGCTTTGCTTTAGTTATGTTATAAACGAAATTAAGAGTTTTATTGACACGAGAGCGTTTCGCTGTCGCTTTCTGAGATCAGTAGACTTGATAATGGCACACAGCTTCAAAGGAAGGCGGGACATAAATTTGTTGTATTTATACATTGCTTCTGTATTTATACATTGCAGTCTGTGGCTTTAGATTTAGCTTCTGTATTGCAATGGATCTGGCCTCCAGATTTATTGCCATTTCGACAATATTACATCTTCTTGTCGTGACGTTTGAACGATACGTGATGATCATATACCCCATGAAATACTATAGGATCGTGAGGAAACAACGAATGGGGGTCTTGATGGTATTTGTTTGGACCTTCTCTTTGGCTGTCTCGCTTCTACAACTGATTTGGATCAGCCTCGGGTCGACACAAACATCCAATGAACTTTACTTATCTTTATTTAGTATAATTTCAGAGCTCAGCAAAGAGTTTCCAGCAATCTGATTGGTCGAGCGGTTCCTTAAGACACTTTGTACCTTTTTCTATCGATCATTGTCAAGTTATACCAGTCTCTTATTCTCCCCTACCTTACTTATGGAATTAGCTCGTGGGGTCAAGCGTCACAGTCAACTTTGGCCGGATAAGCTTCAGATGCGGGTAATTCGTTTAATTAACTTTTCTCCAAAGTGTGAACATGCTATTCCTTTTTTTTATTAATCTTAATATCCTGCCTGTTCATTTTCTTTATGTCGAATCTGTTTCTTGTTTAATGTATGATATTCAAAATAAAATAGCTCCTCCCCGTATTCAAAATCTAGTTACGTATGTCTCAGATATACATTCCTACAACAACAGATCAGCAACTACCAACAAATTTTATGTCATTTCCTCTCGTCTGGAACATAGGAATGCCTTACCTGACAGTATTAAAAAATCTGCCCATAGATATTTATTTAAAAAACAAATACATGAAATATTTATTAATATCTTCAAACAACAGAACTTGTATCGTGCACCATCGTCAATTCTTGAAATAATTAAAAATTTGTAAACCCCATCAATCCTCTAGCTACGACCAGTATAGCGAACTCTCTTCCTATTTTCCTCTTATTATTATCATTTAAATTAATTTACTATTTCAACTTTAAATTATTATTTATTGTAATTTGAACTCCTGTTTCTTAGTGTAATCTGAACTGCCAATTCGAAATCTTTGTAAGTACCAGTGATAAGCCTAACTTAATTATACCTACCCGCCTCGACTAGTTTTTAACTAATTGTGGGTAGGCATTTCTCAAATTGTAATTGCTGTAAATCAATAAATAGTTGTTGTTGTTGTTGTTGTTATATGACGCTATATAAACCGCTCCACGCGGTTTATATAAAATGTTAAAATAAAATGTTAGTAAATGTTACTAAAATGTTATGATTTTAGAAATGTCTCTGTTTTTCAGCTCTGAAATTATACTAAAACAATTATTCACCTCTGGTTCGGTGAATATTGTCGAATAAACCCCTTGACTTCGTCTCGGGGATTATTCGACTATAGTCACCTCACCTTCGGCGAATAATTGTTAATTAACAAAAGTTTTCATGGATAAGATAATGTCATGATACCATATCAAACTCTAAGCACTAACAAAGAAGGAATTGTCCACCAGTCAGTAAGGGGAACTATAAGAAAAATCACAAGAGTCAGGGGTTATTTGTGTAGCTCTTTACACCTTAACATCATTATGCATATTCTCCATGCATACTGTTCTCTATACACAGAGTTTGTACGGGACCTGGAAAACCTGGAAAGTCCTTGGATTTTATTTTGAAATTTTCCAGGACTGAAAAGTCCAGGAAAAGACTACAAGTTCTGGAAAGTCCGGGAAATCTGCTTAAATGAAGCAATAATGAGTTGAGTCCTGACTGTGGGGTTTCATTTTAGACTGAAAAGACCCATTTAGTTATTCTATGCCAAATAGGTATTAATTTCATCTTATTTGCCCTGCCCCCTATTAGTTTCTTACAAAGGTATTACGAACTACCTGGGGTTACACAGCTTACTTTTTCCAAACTAATGGTGGCCAACTAGAAAGCCTTTGCTACTTTGGCCACCACACACATTTTTATAATCTGTACTTTATTTATTTTATTCTGTAATCATTTGTTGCAACTTTACTTTTCTATCTAAGTTAATTTCATGTAAATAGTCTGAAATAAATGAACCAATGAACCAATGAACCAAACCTAACCTCGGCAGATATAAAGTATCTTGAGTCGTTTGTAATGAAATGTATAGTCACCTTCATTGTGAAGGAAACAACAAAGTACATCTTTCTAAAGAAAGTAAAACACTAGAAAGGAAAGACTGACAAATAAAAAATGTCTGAGTGACATAAAGCGATGCACGCTGCAGTCAAACAACAGTTCCCAACACATGCGCGAACTTGTTATTTGCGGATCCTTTAAGATGCTTTATGAGCCGTTTTTCCCAGCCTTCTCTATCCACACTGTCGGAATAGTTAAGAAACGTTCTCGCTCGTAATGGTTTCGGTAATGTTTTGGGATTTATCGATTCAAGACCGATCAATATTACTGAGTAATCACTGCAGTGAAAACTCTTCTGTAAGGCGTAGTCGAGCTCTTGCTTGCAGAATTTGCTGGCTGCATAACTTCGCGACCACACTGCCAACACGTAACGGCTTTGGTACACACTATCGGTGATGGAATTTAAAATGGGATGGCCAAGTTTAAAATGCAACTTGTCGATGCAATAGTTGACCTGGTTTTTACTCAACAAGCTCAGTAGCTCGCTATTCACCCACTCAGAGTCTCTCCGGCTGTAGGTGACAAAGACGTCATATTTGAAGATTAGTTCTTCATCCGGACAAGGTTTTACTATGAAGAGAAAAGTTTTTAGATTAACTGTTAACAAATTTTAAGTCTTTGACTAAATTCATTCTGTTCTTTTTAAAAAATTCACAAAGGTACCACAGATACTCAAAGAAGGTTAAATATACGTAAAATGTCCTGTGGAGAATAACATCGTTGAAAAACTCACAAGATCTAATAGCTACAACCTTACAAATGCAAAAATGCTGAGACGCCATGACCAAAGAGTGCATTTCCCTGCAAGAAACCTAAGGTTGCCCTCCTTCCCCGGTTCAATGTTGCACATGGAAGTTTTATACATAATACCGCCTACCAACATTGCTAAGGGGGGAGTCAGTGGGGAGACACATTATGTTAGATCACACGGTCAGGACAATGATCTCTTTTGGTGGTAACATCTCGATTCATTTTGCAGCTGGTTGTGGCTTAATAGCTAGGCTGATAACTAGTCCTGAGAAAATGGTGTTAGGGCACTTTTCGATTGGGTGTCATAAGACCAAACCAAATTTCTAATTGGGGAACAAAAATCTCTATGGCTTTTTCACTGTCTATTTTTCTCTGTTGAGAGTATGTATATTTCTTTACGTCGATTTTAATCTAAAAGAGTGTATTGTAACTTACAAGGCGTACTTTTCAAAGGCCAAATACTAAGACATTCTCCACGTGAAATTTGTGATCGAGTTTTTCTGGTCGAGGTAGTTGAGGTTTTGCAGGCACGAAACGTTAATAAGTACATATAAAACCAATGCGTTCGCTTACTCGATGGTGGAAGTTTAGGTCCTCTTTGATACCACAACTTGACCAAAATTCCTATGGTAGTTACCACTCCAGTGAACAATCCCAGAGATATGTATAGTACTTGCTTAAAGTGCTTGTCTCCTTGCAATACATATTCTGGGGGCTCCGGTGTCAATACTGTAAATTAAAAAAGGTTAAGAATTTAAGTCCGCACTAGAACTTCAGCAGGTTTGTTACTATATCATGGTTACGAACTGGGTTTAAGCAAGCTCAGTTATTGATGCTCTAGGCTAGAATTTGGGATATCTCTACGGTTGACACCATGCTATACTGAGTAATCTGTTCTTGCAAGAGAATTACTGAACAATGTTTATCGTTCTCTTTCTTGTTTTCTAAAATAGGATTATGCTATACGCGAATGAACAGAGAGTGGTGCTGTCGTTATCGTAATATATCAGAAAAGTTTAGAGAAGGAACCCTTACCCCGAGAAAATGTCACATTAACCTTGATGTGTTTTCTCCGCAAGCCATGGGAAGTGTTGAGCACGCACGAGTAGTTTCCACTATCTTCAAGTTGAGCATTGTATATTGTTAAGCTGAGAAGTTTCCTTTTGATATTTTCTTCTTTTGTCTCCACGAAACCATTGTTTACTTCGAAGTACTTGTTACTTTTTATTTGGCTGCCATTAAAAAGCCAGAAAGCGTCGTCGAACGATGCTGCCGGGTAAATTCCGAGGCAACTTAACGTAACATTTGTACCGTTTGTAATTTCAACATACGGTTTAGTTTTCTTTCTGAGTTGTAAATGTGGACCTTGTGTGCGATTTACACTCACTGCTATGTCGTGTGTTTGTAAACCAGTGGTGAAGTTAGCACCACAAGTGTAGATTCCACTTTGTGCAAGGGTTACGTGTTTCAGTTCTAGTGGAAAGCTGTATCGTTTAACTTTATTAACCAATGACACACCACTTACTTCGTGGTGAAAGGCTTTAGGTTTAGTCAGAATTTTTCCATTAAAAAGCCAGTATACGACCATAGGGAAAGCTTCCGAAAAGATTACACTGCAATCGAGGGTCGTTGTGCTACCTTCGCCGAGTGTGATGTTTGTCTGGGTGGAAGTGACGTTAGGCGCTGTCGAAGAAAAAAAGGAACTATTAATGGGTTGACTTCTGTGCACTTTCAGATACACATGGAAGAAGAAGATCCGAGATGGGAAGCTCGCATAGTACCTTTAGAGGCTGCCTTCGATACCTAATTTGGAGTGATATTGATTTGGGAAAAACACTCTAATGAGCGCGACACCAAGTTACACATCACGGTTTCATCACGCTATCTACGTTTTTGAAAATTCAGCATAAATGATTCACGTTATTTATTTGCAGTTCATAGGGGAAACTGGGAAACGAGAAACGGGCTCCCACTCTACTATTTTCCTAGATGAACGGTGGAGAACGAGGGAGAGTTGGAAAAGAGATTTTCCAGGGAGTGAAGACTTGTGTTTGCGATGTGTTGCATTTCAAGAAGACAGGATGCAATTTTCCTTCCTCCTCTATTTGACAAAATATAAGAATGAGCTGCTGTACTTTTTTAAGTAGAAAAAAATTGGCTCGCTTTTTTAGTTATTGATACTCTTAACTAGAATTAAGGTTATTTCTATAGATGAAACCATGCTTTACCCAGTAACCTACAAGAGAATTGCTGAATGATGCTTCACATGGGTGAGGAATAAAGGAATATTTGAGTCCCCAAGGGGATCGAACCTCAGACTTTCGAATCCGCGTCCTAGTGTTCTAACACTGAGCCACATAGAATTCTACGGAGGGTTTGGCCATTACTAGTTTTATATGTGACACGCTTCCTGCATACCGGTAGGATTTTAACAGATAGGCAATGGTTAGGCGTGGACTGTACTCTTATCGACAACGATATTCTTCATCCCAGTGGTCAAAATGTTGTGGACTCACGATACACATTGTCGATTTTTTTATTTTTTTTTTTTTACCACAGTATCGACGTCAAATAAAACGATTCTTTCGGTGCGTGACCATTGCGCGACACGTTGACGACAGCAGCGTATCGACAACGGCAAATAGGCCAATTAGATCGCGACATTACTGCCAATTGTGGTAAAAAAGCAAAATCGAAAGCTTCGCGCGAGTAAGTAATTGAAAAATATTCTTGTTACTTAAATTACTGTCAGTCTCATTCGTCGTCGTTCTATCACCTTCGTGAAAGTCGCATGGCTTTGGGTTACAGACACTTCAATAGTATACTGATATCTTCTTTGACTATTAAGCGACATAGAAAGCTAGGCCGAATTATGTACGTTTTCATTATTTACACGTGCGTGATTACTGAATGTAAGCAAGTGAATTCCCCTAAAAACTTTGGGTAACTTGCGATCGAATAGCACCCAACACAGGAGGGGTAGGACCCAACTCAGGAGGGGTAGGACCCAACTCAGGAGGGGTAGCACCCAACTCAGGAGGGGTAGCACCCAACTCAGGAGGGGTAGGAGTGCCCAGAGTTGAAAGTGTTACAAATCTATCGCAGCTATGTAGGGTGGTCTCTTATTCAGACTTTCACGTATTCAAAAGACGACTTATCTTTTATGTTAAAAAAAAGAGAGATTATATTATACGCAAATTAACAGAGAGTCGTGTTATTATCGCAGCAATGTAAAAGAATAGTTTAGAGAAGGAAACCCTTACCCTGAAAAAATGTCACATAAACCTTGATGTTTTTTCTCTGCAAGCCATGCGAAGTGTTGAGCACGCACGCGTAGTTTCCACTATCTTCAAGTCCAGCATTGTACATTGTCAAGCTGAGAAGTTTCCTTTTAATATTTCCTTTTTTCTCAACGAAACCGTTGTTTACTTTGAAGTGCTTGTTAGTTTTTATTTGGCTGCCATTAAAAAGCCAGGAGGCGTGATCGAACGATGCGTCTGGGTAAATTCCGAGGCAACTTAACGTAACATTTGTACCCTCTACAATTTCAACATACCGTTTAGTTTTCTTTATGAGAAGTAAATCTGGACCATTTGTACGATGTACACTCACTGCTATGTCGTGTTTTTGTAAACCAATAGTGGAGTTAGCGCTACACGTGTAGATTCCACTTTTTGCAAGGGTTACATGTTTCAGTTCAAGTGAATAGCTGAGTCGTTCCACTTCATTTGCCAATGACACACCATTTACTTTGTGGTGCAAGGCTTCAGGTTTAGCCACTACTTTTCCATTAAAAAGCCAATATACGTCCGTAATGAAAGCTTTTGAAGAAGTTACACGGCAGTGGAGATTCGTTGTGCTTCCTTCGTCGAGGGTGATGTTTGTCTGGGTGGACGTGACCTTTAGCACTGTTTGAAGAAAAAAAGGAACTATTAATGGGTTCACTAGTGGACACTTTCAAATACAGATGGGAGTTGATCTGAGATGGGAAACTCACAGTTTACGTATAGAGGCCGCTGCCTTCGACACCTCATTTAGAGCGATATTGATTTGGAAAAGACACTCTAAGGGCGAGACACATCACACATCACGATTCCGTCGCGGTTTCTACGTTTTCGAAAACTCAGCCTAAATCATTCACGTTACTTATTTGCGATCCATATGGGGTAAGTTGGGATAGACGCGAAATGGGTTCGTTCCGTTCTGTTCTCCTAGGTGAACGGTGGAGAACGAGGCAGGAAGAGATGAAGGGATGGAAAGGAGACTTTCCAGGGGGTGAAGAACGTGTGTTTGTGATGTGTTGCACGTCATGAAGACAGCATACAATTCTCTTTCCTTCTCTAAGTGACCGCATATATCTGAATGAGCTGCAGTACTTTTTAACGTACAAGAGAAGAAAAATGTTGGTAAACTCACCTTCTTCCTGAAGTGACAGCTCTATATTCTCCTTCGCCTCAAGCATCTTTGCCCCGTGTAAGTTGTAGACTTTGCACGTGTAAGTACCTACATCATTATCTGAAACATTCTTGATGTTTAGAGAAATGTTTCCTTTTCTTTCAGCCGTCCAATAGTGTGGCTTATTACTGCTTTTTAGTTCTTGTCCGTTGAATTCCCAGGAGAATACGGTCTTACGCCGGTTTACCCTCGTGGCAAGGCATAACAAGGTTACAGTGGAACCTTTTCGGGCAACAACAGCCTTATCGACCTCCGTGATCTTAGGCCTTAGAGCACCAACACCTGATATAAAAAAAAGGTAAAAGCAACAATACGAAATTAAGAGTTTTATTGACACAAGAGCGTTTCGCAGTCGCTTTCTGTGATCAGTAGGCTTGATAATGGCGCATAGCTTAAAGGAAGGCGGGACATAAATTTGTTGTATCTATACATTGCTTCCCCACTCTGTGGCTTTAAAGAAAACCTCTAGTAGTATTGAAGTCAGCCATTGTGGTACCAATTAGTTATTTGTCAGCGTTTCGAAGTCGCTTTCTGAGACAGACTTATGAATTGCACATAGCTTCAAATGAAGGCAGAACAAACACTTATGTATTCCTTTCCCAATCTATGGCTTAAAAGAAATCTCATGGAAGTTAGTCTGTCACTGTGGTACGAATTAATCATTCTGAAAATACGTCTAAAACTGTCGTCATTAAATTTCAAGTCCCTCTAGAAAACAAATATGCGTTGTGACCCGTGAATTGCGAATTTTTCCTTTATTTCCGCCTGATGAATTCCATTACAATAGAGATTGATGGGAACATAAAATGAAATAGCAAGTTGACCTCGAAACCTGACCTATCCCTCATAGTTTGCGTATTATTAAAAGGCGCAGTGACATAATTGTCTCCCGTTTCTGTTGAAAGGGGGTCTTATGCATAAATATGACCTAATAGTCAGGTCTAAGAGGCTTTGTGGCCCATTGTCTCGAACGACAGGAGCAAATCCAGGTTTCCGTCGCAGAATAAAGGAGCCAGGCTCCTAGTAGATGGGACGCCAGTCCATTGAAGGTAGCTCCGTCTACCTTTTTTACGCTAACGTTATCTGAAAGAAACTCTCCTGAGCGGAGAGACACGAACACTGAGGAAGCGTTTGGTGCATGAGCACAACACAATAACTGCGGACAGGATTCGAACTCGTATGTTTTGACCATACTACAGTCATTTTTAAGCGATCGGTGAGAATGAAACAGTACATGTATATGCGTGTAAGAAGTATAACAAAGTTTTACAGGTGTAAACGGACAATAAGAACATACAAAGAGAAAAAAATAATTTAAAGCTAATCAAAAACCTTTGCACAAACTGAATAACATTGTACATGGAGTGCTGGTCTCCGGCAGTTCTTTAATAAAAATATTTCGCAGACTAGAGAGTCAAATTTGTTCACGCACTTTTTTAGAACGCTAAAATCAATTTTAAAACTCTTTGGAACCAAAGATTGCTTATCATAAAAATGCTTGCCAATTGAAGAGGAGTACTAAGAGTTTTTGTGTTCTTGAACACGATGCAGATGGCGGTGTGTGAAACCAACATAGCCCGAATCGCACAAGTCACATTCAAATGAAAATGAGTCACTATTTCGGAAATTACATCTAAATGTGGATTAACATTGCTAGGAAGTTTTTTAATTGCGTGCAAGAGGGCTGCAAAGATGAAATTGATTGAAACGAAACGGATAGAGAGATGGCTGTGAGAAGATCAGATGTTACGTAAGAAAAAAAGCTGCGGTTGCTCTTCATGATGAGGTAAAATCATTTCATAAGCGCTCTAATGTTCAAGGCTAATTTCTAGGTACTCCAGTCGGGGGCTTACTAAAGAGGGTGGCTGTAGTGGGGACTAACCAGGGCCCATTCAGGGTCACAATCAGAATCACAAAGCGCCGTATAACGTATACATTTCCTCCATGAGAAAGAGATTAAATGTGTGATAATACGAGAATATAACCATTTTCGCAGCACTCTCACTGTAACATTATGGATTTTCATTCTTTTTCGATTAGCGAAAGGGGTGGAGGGTTTATTTCAAAGGAAGGCTGAATAGAGTTTATAAAAATCAGGTGCTCAACGTTTTTCTCAAGATAACGACCTCATCACCATCAGAAGACTAAAGGAGCGAATACATCGTGAGACGAACGATCATACTTTTCTACGATCTTGGGTATGATGTAAAACAAAACTTTATCCCGAGTCCAGGGAGAATACGGTCTTACGCCGGTTTACCCTCGTGGCAAGGCATGACAAGGTTACAGTGGAACCTTTTCTAGCAACAACAGCCTTATCGACCCCCGAGATCTTAGGCCCTAGAGCAGCAACACCTGATATTAAAAAAATGGTAAAAGCAACAATACGAAATTAAGAATTTTATTGACATGAGCGTTTCGCTGTCGCTTTCCGAGATCAGTAGACTTGATAATGGCATGGAACTTCAAAGGAAGGCGGGACATAAATTTGTTGTATTTATACATTGCTTCCCCACTCTGAGACTTTAAAGAAAACTTCTAGTGGTTTTGAAGTCAGCCACTGTGGTACTAATTAGTCATTTTTCAGCAGTGTGGCTAAGAGATTTTTACCCTGTCGTTGCTGTTTTGAATTCTGGTCCTTTGAATTCGTAGGAGTTAAAGGTTGTAAGAGAGGTAATATTTGAGGCAAGGTAGTATCAGGGTTACATTCGAACCTTTTCGTGCTATCACAGCTCTGTTGATCGCCGAAAAACTGGGCTTTAGAGCGGTAACACTCTTAAAATAGTTAATGAAGAAGAATGGTTACAATGGGTCAATACTCATTCTCAGTCGCTTGGCGAGAAAGTCTTGAAAGTAACGCATAGCTATAAAGGTGAACAGAAGAATCTATATTTTCGCCCCCACAGCCTAGCACGCGATCATCAGCATTAATTTCCGGCGCCTTGCAAACAGGTGTTAAAGAAAAACGCGCGAAATGAAAGCGACTGCGGTTCTTTTGCTCTCTTTGGCATAGAGAAGACATCGGTGTAAAGGTAGACTCTCCTCAGTGGTAACGTAAGGCAGCCAATTTACCTTTTTCTTCGGAGATCTTGAATCAAAAGAACTCAGGCAAGCATTAAAATTTCTGCTATCTAGGGCGAGGATTCAAGTTCATCTCTTAAGGTTCATTTAGCTTGAAAATGCTACTTAAGGACACTGAGTAAGTGATGGCAGTGATTAGTAATCACTAACCTCTTCAAACAGTCAAACATTGAGAGTAGACGAGAAATGGGCAGCACCAAAAAATTGATTGTCTGTAAAAGGTTTTTTTTCATATGTTCAGTAACAAATTCAGTGTATTTTTATTGCCGTAGACTGCTACAGTCGCACGGTCTTCTTCAGATCACTGGTGGGAATTATAGTTAAAAATGAGAAGGGACTAGAGAGCATCCTGTTTCGCTCGTGTTTTGTTCTCTTCAATTTCCATCAGGGTCTGGCTATGAGTCGCATATTCTTTATTAATTCGACTTGAGTTCAGTTAGATGTCTCCACGTGGTTTTCAAGTACTTTGGATAGTAAAGGTCAACTGAATTCATTTTCACTTCTCAAGACATCCTGTTCGCATTCAGTCAAAAGTCTTTTGTTTAACAATTGGTTCATGCTTTAGCGTGTACTATCGAGTTATGGAGCACGCGGAAAGTTTGGAGAGCACGAAAGAGGAGTGAGGAATAGATCGCTTCGAAGTCTTTCCTCTTTCGATGTCCATAACATGTGCCGTGGAAATGATTATGTTATATATAATTACCCGTAACAAGTCTGGGTATGAAATTCTGTTCCGTAATCGACTTTGAATTTCCAAACTGTCTAGCTATCCGTTGATATCGAAAAACTCATTTCTTAATTCGATGAAAACAACTCGCGTGATCATGTAACAAGGAAAAAGTTTGGTCCTCTGGCCGTTTATCTAAACCGGGCACGAAATCAGACTGTAAGCGATCTCTATTTGATCGCAGTTTTACCGTGGTGGCGCAAGTGCCTAAGCTTTGGTACAAATTATCGTCTGAAATTTGTAGCTCAAGTAACGTACACATTTTTAAGTCAGCGTTAAAAACGCATCTACAGGGTATTTCATATTGTTTTAGACCTTTCATTTATTCATTAAATGTGTATTGTAGATATGCCATTTGTTACTAAGGTTTATTAGGTTTTATTTGGAAAATATTGTAAAACGCTGGAGAGCATCTACCTATGAAATCCTAGCGCTATATAAACATTGAATTATTAATCATTATTATTATTATTATCTATTTGTTTTTGAAATTGAATTAGATTTCTGCAAGTTCTGACTTTGGAACGCACACACCGTGAGTAAAAAACACAAATCGAATGAATTGTGATGAGAGCTCACCTGCATGTGAACGAACCCGCCGCAAAACAATTATTTAAACGGGCGACAGCCAAATGAGAGCTATTTCAGTCATGGTTGAGCTAATTGGCCGGAAGAGGTACTCTTTGTGTCTGTGCAAGATCGTTGCTAATCAGATTTTATTATCTTCGGGTGAGTGCCTCTGTCGTTAAGTTATTCATATCCGAGCTAGTATGCCTCAAGAACAATTGGTTGGGGAATAAATCTTGAAACGCCCGTAAGATAAAATGTAGGAATGATTTTCACTTTCGAAAGCTTCTCGTTTGATATTTATTAGCTTCTTCCTAACCACTCTAACTGCCTTAGTTTTCAAAAATCTGACGTGTAATCAGATGCTGTCAATTGCGGAAGATTTAAGAACGCAACACTGCTTAGATTCACCTCGCGTCAGCCAAGTTTCAGATAGGAAACAAATTCTTGTCTGCCCATTTCACCGGGATCAATCCTGCACGAGCCGCTGTTTCCTTCTCTAAACCCACATTATTAACACGTGCATTTTGCATTTAGTAAAGTACCCTTACCTAAAATCGACAGTAGTGCTCCAAGCAGCAACGGTGAAAAGAGAAAGCTCATGTTTTGCTGGCCTTGCCGTCTGCTCGAGAGCTTGCCTAAGGACAGCCTCGACTGCTCTCCACAAGGGATCGAGGTAATTTTCACTTTCGAAAAACTCACGATGTAATGTTAATAAAAGCAAAAGTGAAGTAACAAGGGGGGGGAGGGGTTAACTGCAAAAAAATGAAGTGGAATGCGGAAGTTGTAGATTAGCTCACAAGTACAATTTAACGAATCATATTTGTCTGTGATTTTTAAAAGCAGAGTTCTTTGAGAGTGAGACTTCCACTGAAGCAATTTCATTGCTACTGCGACACTTACGCGGTCTTTTTCAAGGAAGTCTTATACAAACACGGTGATATCGTGGCGTATCATCCCCCTCCCCCTTGTCACACTTCTTGATTTGTTTTGTAGTCTTGTTAATGAAGCCACCAGTAAATTGAGAATATATGGGCTTTGCATACAATCAATTAAATATTCAATGAAAGTCAATCACTTTGGTTGCTGGGCAAGCCGATAAATCCGCATTTGGCATGCTGATCCTTTGATATGTCTCCCTGGTTATCATTACATAATTATTTAATAATGAGATGTATCGCAAGTAAACTAAACTGATTTAGCACCTGTCACAAGACGCCAGGTCTGAAAATTGACAATCCTAACAACAGGCTAGTAGGTTGTAGAACATAGAGATAGGAAGAGTTTTAGTTGACGCACAGCATTTCATATTTTTTATAAACAGAACTTTAAATTAGGTTCGAAACTTTGGTGGGAAAGAGTGATACAAATGATCGTCATTATTGTGCTGTTGCTCCGATGCTTACTGTTTGGCAAACACGTGGCAATAATACCTAAGGATTATATGTCTTTTAGAGCGCTTATGTGTGCTATATGATTCAATTGTTCAGTATTCTCCGCGTAAAGGCAGTTAATGAACTTTCGCTTTCTCGCTTCATGACACTGAGTATGTGATGTTACATCTAAAAGTGAGAAAAACAAAAACATTGAAAAAACTGATCAATGACATTTCTGTTCGCACGGTTAATTCTGTTGCATCAAGATTATTTGGAAAGTTATTAAATTTCTCAGCGTGTTAATTCTACCTCGCCAACTCTCCAGTCAAAAATAACTCGTCCTTGTAATTGTCTTGGTCTCGAAACATGGTTGATCTAAACTTGAAGCGGATGTCAAATGCATCGATGTTTAAATGCGACATCCTTGTGGTTACGATAAACGCACTCGTAACGTGGTCAATTCCAGAGTTTGACACCATCAGTGAAAAGAAATTTTGTGTAGAAAGTTTAGATCGCAGAAAAGGTTAGGGTAAGTCATAGCGATAAAAATTGTAAGTTTGATTAATAATTTGTCTCAAGATGTAGTGACTTTCAGCGTGGATCTCCACTTTTCGATTGCGTACCGAGTGTTTCTGCTTGGAATTGGTAGTCATGATCGGGTTTATTATTTACGGGTGTCTCAAGGCACAAAGCGGTCTATCCCTTAGCGTCAGTAACCTGATGTAAACGGGAAATTAGTTTGCTAAAGAAACTTTCGATTCGTAATTTATATCAATCTAAGACCGTCACTTGAAACCTTAAGTCAGCTTCGATCTTCTCTAATACGGTAAGAATATTTCATGGTCACTAGTTTAGAGAACAATCTATATTTCTTTGCTTTGTGCAGTTTCGAACCGGGGTTACCTAGGAATGGATGTAGACGCAAGGAGAAAATGTCAAACGGCTGCATTTAACCAGAAAGAAAATAGTGGAGGAAACGAGACAGAAGAACAAGAATGAGCTTCGTTTTTAAGCAACAAGTTTCGGCTTTGAAAAAGCCAACTGTAGATAAGTAAGTAAAGGCCAAGGGTGGGAGACAATTGAAAGATTAGATCTATTAATCCATCATCTAACACAACTTTTGAACCTGTTAGATAAGAAGGGATCTTCTTGTAACACGGCCAAGAGGCGTTTATCTGAAACATAGTAGCATTTTGAAAGTTCGAAAGACACGGGAAAGAACTGTCTGAGTGAGAGCCTTAGTCGCGCCGACTCACGTGAAAGCTAAAATCAATCGGAAAAGGGAATGAGATCGTTTAAGTTTCAAGGATATTTAATGTCAGCTCTTCAAATAAAATATAGAGTAAGCGTTTGTTTAGATTCTGACTGTTTGATCATTGGTTATCTTGGAAACAAAGAAGTTCTGCGTAATTGCACGTGTTAGCCTTGGGGATACGAACCTCGTGTAAAAATAACTTTGACGCCAGAGGTTTGATCTTTATCTTCCCTTTAAATTCGTTTCCAAGCATTTTGGGTACAGAAAAATTTACCCTTTTGTGATATATTGGTAAGCTTGCATGCATATTTTCGTAGTTGACATTTAGCGGTGTGTGAAGAGTTTCTCTGTAGGACAGGTCTGAATGACTTTCAATTAAAAAAAAAAAAAGATGAATCGGATAAGATGAAATTTTTTCCCAAGATTACATACAACTGTAAGTGTGTTGGTAATCTTTGCAATTAATCAACTCAGTCGGTAGAATTAACTTTGATTTCTTATTAGACAAGACTCCCGTTCATATCAACTAATACGTGAAGAAAATGAATCACGATGTGGTTAGGTTTTAAACAACATTTAATAGTATTCTGGTACTGTGTTTGGCTATGAAGGGCGGTAGAAAGGAATTATACGCGTTTTTATTATTTATACGTGCATGATTTCTGAATTTAAGCAAGGGAAATTCCCGGGAAACGATGCCGGAAATTTTGGGTAACTTGAGATTAAATAGCACCCAACTCAGGGGGAGTAGAAGTGCCCCGAGTGGGAAGTGTAACAAGACTATCGTGGCTATGCTGGGTGGTCTCTTACGCAGACTTCACCTTAGCGTTGGACGACTTTCTTGTTTAAAACTTAACGTAACATTTGTGGCCTCTGCAGTTTCAACAAACAGTTTAGTTTTCGTTAAGAGGTCAAATCTGGACCTTGTGTGGGATGTACACTCACTACTATGTCGTGTGTTTGTAAAGCAATAGTGGAGTTGGTACCACAAGTGTAGATTCCACTTTGTGCAAGGGTTACATGTTTGAGCTCTAATGGATAGCTGAGTCGTTTGACTTTATTTGCCAATGGCACACCATTTACTTTGTGGTGCAAGGCTACAGGTTTAGTCACTATTTTTCCATTAAAAAGCCAATATAATTCCGTAGGGAAAGCTTCTGAAAAAATTACACGGCAGTAGAGAGTCGTTGTACTTCCTTTGTCGAGGGTGATGTTTGTCTGCGTGGAAGTGACGTTTAGCACTGTTAGAAGAATAAAGGAACCTTTAATGGGTTGACTTGTGTACACTTTCAAATACCGAGGGAGGTTGATCTGAGATGGGAAACTCACTGTTTACGTATCGAGGCTGCCTTCGACACCATATTTAGAATGGTATTGATTTAGGAAAGATACCCTTACGGGCGAGACACCAATTTTTACATCACGCTTTCATCGTGGTTTCTACGTTGTTGAAAATTCAGCCTAAATCATTCACGTTACTTATTGCAATCCATATGGGGTAAATTGGGATAGACGCGAAATGGGCTCCCATCGTTCTATTATAACATAACCAAAGTAAAGC